AAAATCCATTCTAGCCAATTATGCACCTCAATAGAAAGATCTTGGGAAAGTGCTTTTACAACACAAAAGGCAATCACACACAAACAAAAAAAACCCTGATAAAGTAAAACTTTCCAAAAATATATCTTCTATTGAACAAGACAGGCCATGTCAATAATAATAATAATGACGTGAAAAACTGCAAAACAACCCAATATGAGGGTGAAATGGCACTGTATTTATAGCTGCCAAGTGAGTAAACTCAAATAAATGCACACACACACACACACACACACACACACACACAATTATGTGGCATAGTATATTCACATTAGATGCAAAGGCTGGGCAGCAATTATACTCTAATCATTTATTTGCTTAAAAGATATGCACAGTAGCACAAAGTAACCCGGACAATGATAGATGTCCATAATATCACTTACATAATTGGATTATTTGGAATAGATTAAAAGGTGGAAAATTCTAAATGTCTATAAACTTTATAATGAGGAGCAGTCCATTCTGCAAGTCACCATTCATGACAATAAACAAAATAGTCTTCAGTATTCGTGGCCCAATAGTACAGATTACATAAAATTATACAGATTTATTTTCAAAGCTTATGGTTTAAACTGTTACTAATCAGAGATGATTGATTCCTACTGTGCTGTCTTTGCACATCTGAACAATAGTTGGAATGATAGTATGTACTATACAACAAAAAACTAAAAGCTCTGTAAGCAGTCTTTATTGAGAGCACCCAGCTTGTATCTGTATATGTAACACTGGCTTTCAGTAATTTCCCCAAGTGCCATGGTTAGGCAGAGTTATGAATATGTTAACAGTATGTAGCTAACTGATATTCCCAAGAATGTTTATCTCATGTGCACCTACTACCGAATATTTCACTGTGTATTAAAGAGGGACAATAAACTTGGAAAAAGAAACAAATCACTATGCATACCTCATGTTCTCAGCTGAATCTTCTGGCATTGGGGCTACAGTTTGTACAGCTGGAAGATTTTTGCTGGTAGCACCATTAACAAAACTAGAAGAGGAGGAAGAGGAGGAGGACCCTGAATCCACAGCACCTGTACCCAAAATAATAATTTTAGTTTTAAATATAAATTTATTTAACAAAATAATTTTATTATTTCATTTCTATTTGATTTTCAAAAAAACAACTCATCAAATTTTCTAACAAGAATTTGACAATTAAAATTATTTGATCATTAGTATACTAATAATTTCTATGGATATTACATTAAAATCCAGTTGATTTACTTATGTTAATCTAACAAAATTACATGTTACAAATGGGTATAAATAAAAGACATCAACACATGAAAAAATTCTACCTTAAGTGAGGCTGATAAAACAATACAAATTTAAATGTGAAAAAATTTACCCCCTTTTACTGCTGTGTTGTAATATTCATAGACCTCAAGCTCTCAGGCATAATTTACAGAGCACTGGGAACATAATTTTATCATTTTGTAGCATTAAATTCTGACGCTGATGAAATGATTGCTTCAGAAGGCCTATCTTGAGTTCAACCATACTTGATTTTAAAATAATGAGTTCTCCTCAATGATATGAAAATGCCGTTTTAGAGAAGATTTTTCTAGAATATGCCATGTGAGCACATCAAAGAGCTGTGGAGCTGAGGGACCTCTAGTGTTCCTAAGTATTATGTCTTATGCTATTTCCAACAAAGTGACTTGCTCACTGGATTTCTACTGTAACAGCTATACAGTGCCATGTGCCAACATCTAAACTGTATACCATAGCTCACACTTCTATATATCTATATGTGATCAAGTATTAAGGGGGAAGGTTACTAAGGAGAAAGTTTTAATTTTTACTTAGTATATATTTTGTACTATCAAAAAACTTATACTGTTATATATCAAATGCTAATTTTAAAATAGAAACTATAAGTGTAATGTCTTATACAAAGAAAAAAAGTAATTTAATCTTTTCATTTTACTGCAGTCATAAGAAAAATTAGGATTCTATTTACTAGACATCACTAAGTATAGATTCTACTATACTCTAATATTTTTAAAACTGAAAAAAAAACTTACAAATTTTACAATGCCATAATGCTGCTCACTGATTGAGACAAGTACACATGCTTAAGAGAGTGTTCTACTTACTACACCCCATAAATGTGTGGTTCATGATATGTCAGACTCAGGTGGCATGATAAACAAGATAGATACAGAAAGCACAAAAAAAGAGCTACAAAATCAATAGAAATGGGAAGAGTCTAAGTAATGATAATAAATGGAAAAGTTCAAGGCTATACAGTTTGGAGAACAGAAGACTACTATAGTCAGGGAAGAAAAGTCAGGGTCATCTTGCGTTGTATAAATACCTAAAATGGAATCACAAAGATTTGGGTAAGGATTTATTTAGCTAATAATCAACAGGAACATTTCTGTAAATGAGAGAGGGAGAGAGACAGAGACAGAGAAAAAGAGAGAGAGACAATGAGAGAGAGAGAGAGAGAGAGAGAGAGAGAGAGAGAGAGAGAGAGACAGACAGACAAACAGACAGAAAGAGGAGACAGAGAAAGAGACAGAGAGTCAGAGATACAGAGAGAGGAGACAGACACAGTGAGATAGAGACAGTGAAAGAGACAGAGACAGATTTTATTCAGGCTTTAATTTTTATAGTGATTTGGAATTTGTGGTTTCTAGAATCATAGAAAATAGCTGGACAATGAATTAATTTATATTCTTAGGTTATAACTATCAAATTAATTCAGTGTAAGGTAATAGTCCTTATTCATATGCTCTTTTAATGAAGTTGAGGCTCTTGCATTTATCAAGGTTCTTAGGGAATTTTGCCTTTCCTTGAAGCATTTAGCAAAGGATACATCTTAGGGGTCAGTCAGAAAACTCTATGTTCTAGCACATGCCCCTTTGACATGCTTTATATGTTTAGTTTTACCTGTCACTCTCCAGTGTCTAAATCACCTTTTGCTCCCCAAGTGTATTCCAATAATTTGATTTACCCTGAAAGTAGAGTATGATGTTTTGAGACAACTCAAAACAAAAACCAGTACTGTCTCCTAAAATGACCACCGTGTCTGTGTCCTAGAGCCAGCAACAGATTCTGAAAAATTGTCATACAGGGTACAGCACACTAAAAGACTAAACTAACCATGAATGTTCTGGGCTTTTTAGTTGTTAAAATCAAATGGGAAAATGAAGATACAGCAAACAGAGAAAAAAGGATGAAGCTTCACAAAAGTCTATAAGGACGATACCTGTCGTGTTAATCATACTTTTTGGTGTAGCTCCAGGGGCAGCAAATATACTTGAGGTACTGCCTGTTGGCAGCCCACTTCCCGCAGCCGTGGCTCCCACAGTGGTGACAGCTAGACTACCTGGAGGTGGCTTCTTTACAGGCACCACCACACTCCTGTGGAGAAAGAAAGAAAACAAGACCAAAACTTGAGATGAAGCCTGTCCCCATGATGGTACACCAGAAATAGAAAGCCTACACGGAGCACAGCTCAGCTGCCTCTCATCAGTCTTTGCTTCTCTTCTCTGACCATCCACACTGTCAACTTGCAAACCCAAAGTCACTGTTCTAGTCTATTCTCACCTACCATTTCTAACAACCCTCTTTCTAATGTGGAATGACCAACTAGTTAGAAAAAATAACTTAGATCTTTGTCCTTTGTGAGGCAGCAGCTCCTCCTACAGCTTTGAGGAAAAGAAAAGTAAAAGAGCTGAACAAAATCAAACCACACCATGCTTGGTGACAACACAAAGTGAAATAATATTTGGCACTTAATAAAATAGAACAATCATAAGGAAAGAGATAAATGAATCAATAATCAGTAAGTCAAATGAAAGAAGGCTGACGAAAACTGAGAAGTTTCTGACTTGAAAATTTATTTGGTAAACACTAGTGTAGAATCTGGAGTTTGGGAATCTTCTAAAATGGCAAATGAAAAATAATCACATACCAGAGAAACAAATGCTGTCATATAAGGGAAAATGTCATAAAATTGGACTACCAATGGTTTATTGGGCTAAAGTCCTTGCCTCATGTACTGGAGAACCTGAGCCCTAGAACCTAAGTAAAGAAGCCAGAAGGTGGTGGGAGGTATCTGTAATTCCAGAACTCGTGAAACAAGATGGGAGTTGGAGACAGAAGCTCATATGCAATGCAACACAGCATAAACAACACCCTCTCTTTCCAGCAAGGTGAAAGGAGAGAACTGGACTCCCAAAAGTCCTTAGATCTCCAGGAAGTGTGTGTATGCTAAAATCTGTCATAAATTTATATATATAAATTTATATATAAATTTATATATATAAATTTATATATATAAATTTATGACATATATAGAATTGTATATATATAATTATATAAATATATATATATACATTTACTTATAAAAATATATATTTATATAAAACAACAAAGACATATTGACAGCCAAAATGGAAAATATGATGCTGAAAAAATGAAGTGAGATAGCAAAGCACACCAAGAAAATGAAGAGCTTGTAATTTTGGTTCTCTCATCACAAAAGCTCTCAACACCACAAACAAATTCAGAGGACAGCACGTGTATATAGCTGAAGTGCCACTTACCTTTTAATTCTTAACTTTAGAGACATAGAAATTCATTTTTTTCTCATATTTATTCAACAATTTCAAATGAACTTAACTTAAATCTTCTGAACACTTTACTGTCTTAAACTCTGATGATGAACATATGTGTATATAGCACAATTATAAAATCTGAATTTCTAAAATATAATTAGTATCTGTACTTCTGTGCTATAAAGGCCTATTTCTCAAAACTTACATCACTTCAAATTTGAATTCATAAATATCTCCCAAGCAAAAAGATTCATGAGATAATTTTAAGCTCTAATGTAAAGCATGAAAAATAGCCACTGACAACATAAACATCTTCAATGAAGTCATTTAATGCCCTTATATTTCATTGTTAATATGACCATTTTTATTTTGTATTTATTTATTTTTCTGGACTATCCTTATCAAGCTGTTACTTTTACTCTCATAAAGGTAAAATCAGAGGCCATCAACATGTCTGCTCTTTAGCATGGTAGTAGCAATCCTTCCACAAAATGAAGAGCAATACTTATAACCTGCTTTGTAAATTTTATGAAAATTAAGTCCACTAGTGAAACTATATGAACAGAACATTCTAAGGTCCAAATTTCTTCGCTTTCTTTAACATAAACCCTTAATTTTCAAAGAAATAATTCTGTTAATTACTTCAGTAACTATTTTAATGTTGAAAATTTAAATTTTTGATGATTATTTTTCTTAATGAGCTCATATAACTTTTTGAAACTAAAGGAATTATAATATTAAATGATATTAATTGGGCCATAAAATTTTCTCCACTTTCTATCTAGAGATACTGTTTCCCTCATTTTTGGTAGTGATGACAAAACTAAGTGAGCATCTAAAACAAATACTAAAAAAACAAATGATAAAGAAACAAGGGCTCAGTTGATAAAGCATTTGCTGTGCTAGCAGGAAGACTTGAGCTGGGTGGGATCCCCTGGAGCTGGTATAATGCCTGGCTCAATAAGGCTCCAGTAAGTGTAACACTGGGCACTGGGGAGGTAGAGATAGGAGGAGGTTCTTGGGGTTTGCGAGCCAGCCAGTTTAACCAAATTGGTGAGCTCAAGACCAGTGAGAAACCTGTCTCAAAAACTCCAGTGTAGAGCAACTGAGGAAGATAACTGACATCAACATCTAAAGCGCGCACGCCTGCGCGCGCGCATGAACACACACACACACACACACACACACACACACACACAGACACAGTTGGTTAGCAGTACTGTAGGGTGAATCTGTAAATGGCAGGAGAAATAGTATCACAGATTTCTAATGCATCATTGTCATCATTATCAATTATGGGCAAACTTTCATGTAACATATTATCTATAGCATCTCTATAGTTCTCTGTGCAGAACCTACAAGACATATTAAGAAAATTACGTATGAAAATTCTGTAATGAAAGATTATGAACAGCATGCAAAAATCTCAGACATCTGAAGCCTTTTGAAGCCAGTCAGCGATCCCATTGGGTTAGGTAAAGTACAGAGCTGAGAGCACATCTTCTAGGGTCCCAGCCTGGGTTAGAGGTCTAGATCTGACAACTGCTAACTGTGTGGGATGGAGCATGTGAGTCTCTGTCAACTCATTTCTCTTCACCGTTAAAATGAAATTTCCAATCGTTTGTACTGCATAAAATTGCTGGCAAAATGCTTGGCACTGCACCTGCATACTACAGATCATCACTGCACTTTAGGCTATTGATATCACCGTGGAACCTTTGAAAGTGCTGATGCCGTCCTGGTCTGATGCAGCCTGAAAGAAGCTACAATGCTGTGACCTTCTGCCCTTGTCCACACAAGTGAAAAACCTACCAGGAGTGTGAGGCATTGTATTTTAGCAGTAACAACAAAGAATGTATCTTAACAGAACACTTACAGTTGAACATAAAGAAAACAGTCTTATGAAGCTTGAAGAGACTAAAAAATATATGGAAAACGCAGTAGCTTTTAAAGCCTCTAAAGACATAAAACTTCCATGTATGTGAAAATATCAAGTTAGGACCGGCAGCCCCAGGAAAGCTCTGTAATACTTACCAACTAATTTGCAGTGTATGCTCAAATGGTTGGGATGGCTATGTGACAAGAGCTCAACTTATTTTAACAAAAAGATGAGTTTTACTGATTTTACAGGTATTTGTTTTCACCAATAACTTTATGAATTTTTGAAGACAAATTGTTTTAGTTAAGATGATTAAATTGTTTGCCTAGGTTCACACAACTGAATATTCTTGTGCCCAAGATCCCTACAGTCCTGTTCCAACCCCAAAGCTGGACAGGGAGCTTTCCTAATATCCTTCCTGCCTTTCCTAGGATGCCAACCTTGCCCCCATCAAGAACTTTCTTACTTCTTTGGAGACTGCCTAATACCCACCTGCTCTCTTTTCCCAGGAATATATATCATTTCTCTTCTCTAGGCCACTTGGGTTCCGGTATGCTTCTTCTTATATTGGAATGCAGGATGAACTTACTTCTGTTAGGGCCTTCTTTTTTCTCCCATAGGAAAACCCAACACCCAACCCCTACATTCACCAGGACCCCTTACCAATCTCAGTTTTATGGCTGGCTCTGCAGATAAAGTGACCAGCCTATACAAAGACTTGACTTCACTTCAATTTAGTAATCAAAGTCTTGGTTAGAGCAGCAAAACAGAAAGGAACAGAAAAGATACAAATAGGAAAAGAATTAAGAGAATTCTTGTTTGCTGTTGATATAATTCTATATATGAGACCTTATAGATTTACCTAGACCACTCCCAGAATTAAATTAAAGATGCTGAGAAAGAATCAAGGGAAACAATTCCATTTCACAATAGCCAACAACAACAACAAGAACAACAAGACCTCTGAGTAGGACTAAGCAGGGACATGAAGGTTTTCTCCAATAATAACTTTAAATCTCTGAAGACAGAAATTGAGGAAGACACTAGAAGACAAAAAGATCTCTCTTATTTATGTATTGGTAGAACTATAGGTGTAAAACAGACCCAATAAATTAGACCTAATGAAACGAAAAACCTGCTATACAGCAAATGAAACAATCAAATGAAAAGGCAGTTTACTGAATGAGAGTGTCCTGGCTAGTTTTGTGTCAACTTGACACAAGAAGAAATCATCAGAGAGGAAGCCTCAATTGAGAAGATGCTTCCCTAAAATATGGATATAGGCAAGCCTGTGGGGCATTTTCCTAATTAGTGATTGGTGTATGCGGTCCTGGGGCAGAAATGCAGAGAAGCTTTCCACAACAGCAGTCCCCAATGATACAAGAAAGTCCAGGATTTCAAAACCTTTATTGCCATAGTGGATGAGAGATGGTCTAGATGTGCATCGCCCATTTAAGCAAAGGTGGGCCTGGCTTAAATAGGAAGGAGGAAGAGAGAAGGGACTGGGAAAAGGAACATGTAATTGGCTATGCCCTCTGGCTTTTAGGTAACTCATTAATATGGAAATCTCTCTAGGGCTGAGGCCTGTAGTCATGCCCTCTGTGGATGGTGATGCAAACGTCTCCGGGAGGGGCTGCTTTGTCCTATGTGACTGAACGGTGCAGGTTAATGGAGATCATAGACCGTGTATCAGGAGCCTGGAATCGGGGGTGTGGGGAGATATGTGCAGTTCCTACACAGGCAATGGACACCTATTGGATCTCTGGCTATCTCAAAACCAGTTCTCTACCGGAGATCAAATCATCCTTTCACGGTCCTACAGATGTGGGTGGAGTCCATTGTAGGAGAAGCAACCCTTGGGCAGGTGGTACTGGGTTCTATAAGAGAGCAGGTTGAGTAAGCCATGAGCAGTAAGCAGGACCCCTCTGTGGTCTCTGCATCAGCTGTTACATCCAGGTTCCTACCCTGTTAGATTTCCTGTCCTGTCTTTCTTCAATGATGGACTATGATATGGAAGTCTAAGTCCATCAAACACTTTCCTCTCTAACATGCTTTTTCGTCACTGTAGCAATAGAAGCCCCAACTAAGATGAAGTGATACCAGGAGTTGAATATTACTGGGACAGCCCTGACCATGCTGTTTTCTGGGAGACAAGAGTTGCTGTGGTGATTATGTCTTCACCGAAATAGAACATGAATATCAAAGCTGGTACAAGGATAGTGGGGTATTACTGTCACAGACCTGACAATGTTTTGGGAAAGCCTGTGGTACATACTAAAACTTTGAATAGAAAAGCCAGTGCGTGTTTGAGAGCTCAGTGGGATGTTCTTTAGGAGCTTGGAAGATAAGAATGTTGAGGGCAATGCAGATGATGGAGGCATGATTTGTAAAGTTTCAGGGGGAGGTTTAAAGACTCTAGTGGGGTCAACTGTTATCTTGAATGAACAGGAAAAAAATTCTTTGCAATCATAAGACTAATAACACAATACACAAAAAATATCAAGAAAACGGACTATCCCATCCCCTCAAAAGATTTACAGATAAAAACAAGAAATTCTAAAAAGAACTACAAGTGATGAAAAAACAGTTTTAGAAACTGTTCAACATCTAGGAATGCAGAATAAAACTACCTTGAGTCCCATCTCATGGTAATCAGAATGACTATTATCAAGAAATTACATGACAACAAATGTTGGTAATGTGAGGGTAAAGAAATCCTTATTAACTGTCAGTAGGAGTACAGACTGGTATACAGACTATGGAAATAGGTGTGACGATTCCTCAAAAACCTACGAATAGAAGTGTTGTATATCTCAACTATTTTATTCCTGAGTATATTTCCCAAAAACACAATGTTATCCTACATAGGTATTTGCTCATCAGAATTCCTGTCACTCTAGTCACAATGGCTAGGAAATGGAAACAGGTTATATGTCCATCAACTGGTGGATATGAGGAAAATGTGGTTCATATCCACATTGGAATTTTGTTTAGCTATAAACAAATAAAATTCACAGGTAAATGGATGGAATTGAAAAAAAAATTAGTAAAGTAACTGAAGCTCAAAAACCACATACCAATAGCATACCTTGATGGTTTATCAAAGCTTCAAAGTAGTTAGAAACTAATATGGGCTCTTGCTTGCTTCTAAGAACTTGATGATGAGACCCAATCACATAGTGCATCACCTACACTGGCTCACGGTGGAGAAAAATCAAGCTGGAACTAAGCTAGAAGCTTCCTTTTTGCTGGCTACCTTCTACAGTACTGGTAAGTGCTATTCAAACTGCTGGGTAAGAAAATGTATTGATGGTCATGTCTGCTTGTGAACTCTACAAACCACTAGATAGATGAACCAGCCTAGGAAGATGTGCTCACTAACGAAATAATAGTATTGCTGCTATAAAGACAAATAATTTCTAATTAAATATGATGTTCTCTCCATACAAAGGGATCTATGCCTGGTACTGTAAAACCTACTAAAGACCCATAGGAAGTAATAGGCCCTGGAGGAGAATGGAATACAGTTTTATAGCTAACTTGGAACAATGTCAAAGTGTCATTTAAATATTTAGGTTTATATACAAACAAATACTCCTCTCAGCTTTAATCTGAGAAGACTTTCCAGCGACTGAGAATA